GACTTTTCATAAGGGCGGAGGTACCAGCTGGGGTATTGCCACAACGAACTCAAGTGAGAGTATCAACAACGTTTACAAGGGTGTTCGTGCACTGCCAATCTCTGCCATTGTTGAGATGACATACTGGAAAATGAACCAATGGTTCGTCAATCAGCTCCATTGAGATGAGAAGAGGGAGGCACAGGGTAAGGTACACTCCGATAAACCCTCAGAAATAATGGAAAAAGACAATCGGAAGAGCTCTCGGCACACTCTGATCGTTATGAATCAAAATGCTGGCGAGTATTCAATCGAGACCGGGCACTGAGACAAGGTAAACTTCCAGAAAAAAAAGGGGAGTGCTCTTTCCAGAAGTATCAAGGGAAATGTTTCCCTTGTTCTCATGCAATTGCTATAATCAAGCACGGGAGCAAAGACCCTCGTCACTTCGTCAGTCCGTTCTTCAACATCGACTCACAATAAGTTGCTATGGCAGGAGTTGTCGTGCTTTGCCTGATGAAGCTTACTGGCAAGTGTATGAAGGAAAGGTCATTATCCCACCAATCGGACTAAGGCGTGAAACAGGTCGGTCGTGAGTAAAGAGGATTCCAAACGAGATGGATCAAAGTGGAAGACCAATATGAGGGCCTAGGTGGTGTTCCATCTTCAAAGTTCCAGGGCATGACAAACGAAAATGTCATGGAACAATCGGTCCTCAAAACTCAGGGCCCGACGTCGTGAACCCGGATAACGGCGCATGAATTTTGTTTTAGTTCGCAATTTGTTTTCCTTTCTGTGGTTCACATTAGTCCAACTTGTTTAACTAACACATCATTCCAAGTAAACTCACTACAGAAATCAACACACCACTCAAATAAAACATAGATTGACCGCGGAGAGACGCGGACCGTTGAGTTGGCGCCCGGTCTACCGTCGTATCGCACTCTCATCCGACATTTTGAGGGACTGCCACATGCCTCTGCGGTTTGTTGCATGCCCGAAGCGAAACTACACCTTCCCCGCACATTTCTCCTTTGAACCGCCGCTTCCCCATGCAGTTTTCGGTTTACGTGTTATGTTTGTAATTTTTTTTAAACAATGGTACAATTGGATTTTTCCCCCGATTATTAAGTATTATCTAAAAATATCCAAATACTCCCCATTGCCCCAACCCATAAACATAAAGACATAAGAATCCATTCAATAATCCGCGAGACCACATATACTAAAATTCATGTTTTTATCATCCCTCCCCGCTTCAGAACAACCTTGGCCTCAAGGTTAACCCGATCCTTCCTTGTTTTCTTCGTCCTCCATGGCTGCCCATTCTTCCGCCTCGTCCTCCCAACGTCCCACAAGCATTGCTTTGGTTCATGAAGCGACAATGTTTGAAGGTAGACCAATGCAAACAAGAGTACAAATCCAGAGCTATTATGAACATTAGGTAATTGGGGCATTAATAAATAATGATTTGGGACCGCTCCGACAAGTACTGAATTTGGAAAATGTCTTTACCTTATTAATATTGGTTTGAGATTTTTCGAAAGAGTATTTAATTTCACATGTTAAACTCCCCAATTTTTGAAAATGGAACCTTCGAATTGGAATATGAAGATTTTGGATTAAGCTTGGTTTCCTAATGTCCTTATAGGTGTTTATTTCTCTAAAATGCAGTTGTTTTCAAAGTAACCCATCGCAAATAGCAGGTCAGGATACAACGATGGTACCCGTATACATTTATATAATTAGTAGGAAGCAGACTGTATCTGTTCTACTATATCGTTTAGTTAAATGATCAGTTGTTCTTTTCGACTAAAAGTTGTGCTTAAATATTGCAATTAACCTGAGAAATGTATGTCTTTGCATTAACTGCTGGAAATGTATGTTCTTTTCGACTATAATTTATGGTTTAATGATGAGAAGTCCATTTATTTAGAAGTAGTCTAATACTTGACTTCCGTTTTGAAATTCTAATTGGACAAACGGGCCGGAAAATAGTCATGTCATACTTTAGTAGGGGCGGAGGGAGAGGTTAATAGGGTGAATCATGGACCCACTCTAGTTCTGGAGGAAAATGGTTAAATTAGGTATAGTACTTAATTGATACTAAAAATCAGGGCGTGTCTTGTTGATAATAGTTGATCGAAAAGTCTTGTGTTCGAATCTTAAAGGCCTCATTTGACTTTGGGGGGGGGGGGGGGGGGGGGGGGGGGGGGGGGTTGTCTTGTTGATAATAGTTGATCGAAAAGTCTTGTGTTCGAATCTTAAAGGCCTCATTTGACTTTTGGGGGGGGGGGGGGGTATATGATATAAGATATATTATTGAACCTCACCCAACAACTCGAGCTATTGACAAAGAACACAATTCAAAAGCGAACGATTAACTGAATCATGAATAATTCTTTTATGCAAGATTCATTATTAAACCTTTATCAACTACTCAAGTTATTGATACTAAACAGTTCTTGATAAATAACACTATTCGAAAATGAACAACTAAGTAAATTATGAATAATTGTTTGATACAAAGAGAATGATATTCTTGATAGTTTTGATTATTCATCAATTTTAATTTATAAAAAAATTCAGGAAATATAAAAAAATTTAATAAAAATTATTTTATCATGCGTATATTTTTTATGGGAACCCATCCACAAAATCCTGATTACGCCCCTGTACATTAGTGTCGCAGGAGGGTTGGTTGATATCTCAGGGTTTTGGATTTTCTAGAGGGTTGTTTATTGTAACACAGAGTTCCTAAAGCTAGCAAGGTATTCCTATGCAAACTTTTCCGTTGTTTGACTCTTTCTCGCCTTAGTCTACAGTATTTTCACTTCAATAGAACTGATATTAGATAAAAAAAATTAGTTAAACTCGATGAATTTTATGCTTGAAACACCTATTTTATTTGATATAAATAAAAAAATTATGATTATAAAAAAATTAAATAAATATGAAATATTCAAAAATCAAAATAATTTAAATTTAAATCATTAATAAAAAATTATCCGGCCAATGGCCGGAAGCAAAGCCAGTTACTACTAAGCTTTTCCAATAGGTGCCTAAGAAGTAAGAACAAATTGGTACTAACTTGACTAAAAACGAATGGTCTCGATACTCTCAGTTGTTTTGGCAGCTATTGGTATTTGAAGGAGTTCTACATCAACTTAGTGTGAAGACGTCTTATGATCAAGTCACACTCCCATTTGGGGAAAATATGGTGATAGCAACAAATGTGACTCGCACTAGGTGCTAAAGAGCATAGACAAACATTTATGGTAGAAACTAGGAACCCAAGGCAAAAGCTGTACCTCTAAATGCACAGCTTCATTTGGTGCGACGCATCTGTAGAGGTCAAACACATGGCCTGGAAATGGGATTCGCGTAGAAGGTTGGCACTATTAACCTTATTTCACCCACTAATGACTATTTATTTGCTACCCGCGTTCCTAAAACATTGATCACTGAAGTAGGGTACTAGAGCTAGGGATTTAGGGTACTCAGAAAATCCTGATTAAAGCAGCACAAAGACACCAGAAATCACTGTCAGCATGCTTTTACAAAATGCTGAACAAGGCAAAAAACAGAAACACTGAAGTTACGGCAGGTGACAATAAAGTAAATACAAGCTTGATAATTGACCAAACAAATATCATGTGTCATAGGTCTGTAACTATTCTTCCATACCAACTGCAATCGCATTTGGAATATTTAAATGTTCGAAGCAGAGGATCCGAATCAAGATATATGAAATGTGAAATGCTAGTTGCCAGTAGCTGAACTTATTGATGGGCAAACCCAGGAACTCCCTACCAGCTACACAGCCAAGATCCACAGTTATGTTGATGATCTGCATTCAAAATACATATGCTTGAGAGAATAATAACAGGTCTAACCCATATTGCTAACAGAAACTTAGACCAAGTCATCTTGATACCAGAGTCATCCTTCCTCGGCACAAAGGATAGAAACAAGAACAGTAAGAGTAAATTGCAAGTCGAAAGAATGACAAGAGACAAAATTTTGCAGGGAGGAAAATCATGCCAGTGGGAATCTAAAAGAAATTCGATGATAACTTGTGTGATAGTATATTCAACAAAGAGAGTCCTATAGATTTCATGCACGTATTTCTCACCACAACATAGCTACTGCTGAAGGAAAAGGAGATTGAAATAAGCTAAGACAAGATAGAACTGTGCTCATTGAGTCACTTAAAGCTGGAAGGGTCTTCCACTATAACCACGAGATGACAAGGCCTCACTTTAATGAATGACAACATCCATCAAGCAAATCCAGTCTTCCCACATTTCACAGGAGGTGTCCTCAATCAGGACTAACTTACGTTGATCAATATTATTCTTTATTTGGTGATCGGCTATGTTAATAGAAATAATTGGATATGCAAGGGTTTAGTGAAGCTTAGATACCACAACACATTAGACAAGTCCTGTGGTTAAAGGCCATGCCCGCGTAAATGCCAAATCAGAATCTAATAGGGTGAATTGGCATCAAAGTCTATACCTGGCAACCAAGACTAACAAATTGGCAGCTCAAAACTTTCAAAACAAGAAACTAGCCATGGCCAAGAGCATACATTAGATTCCTTATTTGTATTTTGACACTGCCAAGTTTATGCCCCCTTAGGGTTAACCCTTTGTGATGCAAAAATTTGCTAACTAGACAACAAGAGCTCCATGGAATTCGAACTTTAGAAAATATGAGGCAACTGACATAAAGAAGTTCTTTGAGACACAGATCCTTAAATTGAACTGAGAGTGTAAATCATCCTCCATCTGATCCTAACTCTTTTTTAACCCAAAGATAAGCCCAGGGGGCAAGGCCGAGCAACACACTTACAAGACTGACCCTAACTTCTCCATCTAGTTCAGTCAAAATTCATAATCTTCAACAGCTAGTACAAAGTTGCTTGTACCAACTCTAGGCCATATCGGACGTCATTTAAGCAAGTTACTAGTGGGGAATAAGACCAATGCTATCTCAGATCCAGGAATAAGAATAAGGTCTTAGAAATCCCTTCATTCCACCAACTGAAACTACTGCTGCATCAGCCACCCACAATAATATCATACTTACTGCTCTCAGATTGCTAAGAAGTAAAAACAGATAACTTGCTTATCCTTAAACATTCTGTAGAAACATCAAACATGAGGCTTTCCAAACAGATCATATGATCAAGAATGAGAAAAAGGCTGTCCACTAAGAAAAAGTCTGCCTTCGAAAGTTAATACACCTTGTTCCACAAGTTATTAGCTGACTGAATAAAATCCAGGTTACATGAATCAGGGGGAGAAAAGAGTGCGAAAGAAACCATCCTTCCATCTAGCCAAGCATACTACTGCGGGAATCTAATAATTGAACACGATTAGAGTGTACATGGACTGATTTTTCTACAATGGCAAAGCAAGATGAAGGATGAAGTGCATGAGCATATTCCAACAAGCAATGACAATGGCATATGCTTCACGACCTTTGCATCCCCTCATTATTGTATAAGACCAGGCTGAAGCTTCCAATATAATGCACACTTTGGTAAGATCGTATTAAGTAGTAGTATGTAATATGACAAGAATAGTAATGCAAGAGAGCTGGCACAACACTCGATTAAGACATAGTTCAATATGATGTTGCCTTTTCTCTTTTGTTCCTGTCCAGTCCACTTGTCTTAGACATTTGTACTTATGCTCCCTAGGTAATAAGATAAATGGAAGGAACAGCTAAGAAAGCAAATCTTGGCAATGCTTAATTTGCTCGTTTGAAGGACTAGTTGGGAGCACAGAAACCAGGGAAAACCAACATCTTAAGTATGAAGATTTAATCGCAACTTGACTACAAAGATTCATGCCTAAATCAACCTACCAAAAGAGAAAAACTTTCAGTTCCTCCTTTCATAGCTCCCCCAAACAGTAGTGAAGAAATTGGAAAACAAGTAACCAAGCAGCTAGGTACCCTAAACAATGAAATTGATGCACCGACCGTCTACATTGTGCTTACAATTACCATCTATATTTCTGCAATCAACTTTGCCTAGTGAAATACAGTGTCTAAGTTGGGCATCGAGTGCCTACATGCACAAAAGCAATAGAATCACAAAAACTCAACTTTACATTGAATGACAGAATATGAGTAGCCAGAGGCACAAAGGATTATCTAGTTTTATTCTTTTCTCCTGAACTTCTGACAGCATCATAAGAATCAAGAGATTATTTTTTTTTTTTTTTTGTATGCGGATCACGAGAATTGATTCATTCTTATCAGTTGATTAGACAAAGTATACTGATTTGATTTGCGCAAATGATAGAGCAGAAGTTCTCCTCGAATCAGCAAATTCACAATGAATCAACCCAGACCTTCCCGCCAACTGTGGTTGGGACCAGTTGCTATGAATTATAATCAGAGGGGAGAAAAACATCAACATGTCTTTAAGCAATTATTGCCCGAGAAACGCAAGGCAATTATTGAAACGATAAAATCACAGATTTGAACAGAAAAAAGCACAAAACGTCGATCTCTTAGAACTTCTGACTTCTCTACCGCCAGATGAACAATCACAAGATAGTAACTTTCAACTCCCAAATTAGTTCCTAACATAAAACCTAGAAATATTCGAGTATCGATCATTGCTCCGAGACAAACCTAGAAATCAATCCAATCCCAGAAAATTGAACAAGCGCATTTTGCTTACCTCTTCCGTCATTTCTGGTAGCCACCGCCTCGGGTGTTGATATCCTCCTCCATCGCTCCCGTCAAATAAACGGGAGGGAAATCGGCAACCCCGAAGGTCTGCTCCTTCATCATCTTAACAACATCCGCCTTCTTCAAAACCGTGCGCTTGATCGGTGGACGGTTCCGGCGCTGATCCCTTGTGTGGTACTTGATGTCGAAAACGGTTTCAGGTTCGGAGGTGGGCACGATGGCCTTCAGCTTGGTTGTGGCGGGGCACTCAAGGCGATACTCAGTGGCTTTCGGGATGGCATGCTTGTATTCCGGGTCCGCGCAAGGTCCCGTTATCTCCCATGGCTTTTTAATGTAGCGACGGAGAGTTTGGAGGAGAGTGGCTCCGGCGGCAGACGCGGGTTTCGCCATCTGTGGATGGATGCTGAGATCGTCGGGAGAGAGAGAAAGAGCCGGAGAGAGAGATGTTAAATGGAGCGACCGGAATGCGGAGGATGAAAGTGAAACAACTAGTCCATCCACAATTTGCAATTTAATTTACGATTCAGATTTTTAGGGGTAATTTTGAAAGAGCCCAAAGATTTTATTTTTTTTTTTCTTTTTCTTTACGATGGATCACTTGTATTATCACTGAGTCGTTGTCGCCCTAAAATTTAAATTTTATCGCCCTAAAATGCAATAAATTGACACTCTTACCCTCTGCCCCAATGTCTAGCCAACCCTAAACAATCAATCTCTTACTCTGCCCAGTCGTCGCCGACCTCAACCCGAAAGCTGCTGTCACTGCTAGATTCTTCTCTCCGGCACCTACCTGCATGCTGTCTATCTCTCTTTTTCTCACTCGCCTTCTTCGCATTTCTCTTCTACTGCAAACAGAATCATGAAAAAAACCATTTCCAAGCTACCCGCCAAAAAGCTCTGTAACCAACTTTCCTCGTTTGGTTTTGGTGCTGAAATAAAGTTGCGAGCTTTTTCCCTTGTGGAGATCTCTGTTTGAGAAAGGAAGAACTAGGTTTTGGTGGGTTTTTCTGAGCTCTTTCTGTTATGTTCCTTCTTCTACTTCTAATTACACTTCCTGACCTGTCTCAATTCGCCGGATACGAGTTTTCAATCCGTCCGGTGCTTCCAACGGCGGACACGAGAGACAAAAGAAAATTAAGCTAAGGATATTATAGTCATTTTAATAAAAGTTAGGGCAACGAATAAAGTGTTTTAGGGCGACAAATAGCAATGCCCAAATAATAAGTTAAACAATCTGAAACCACCCAGAATATTCTCCTTTGCGGTCATGATGCTTCTCCAGATGAAGCTAGGTTTATATCCAGTCTTAGCGTTGAGAACATCAGATTTTGGAAAATACCTGGCTTTTAGAGTTCTTATCATTAGTGAGTTGGGTCGAGAAAGGATTTTCCAAACTTGCTTCCCTAGCATAGCAAGATTGAAGGTGCGCAGATCCCTAAAGCCCATCCCACCATATTCCTTTTCGTCACACAGTTCCTCGGTTTCATATGGCGTGTGGGTGATGGGGAATCAATTCGGGTTTGGGAGGATGCCTGGATCCCAGGTAAAAGCTATTTTTCGTTGACCCTCAACCCGCCGGGATTGATTCGGATGAGCTGGTGTCTTCCCTATTTGATAAAGATAGTGGAGCTTGGGACGAAAGTAAGCTGAGGGAGATGTTTTCTCAGCTGGACTATGGGCTCATTTCAAAAATACCCTTGCGAACCCTCCTGCACAGGGATGAGAGGGTGTGGACTGACAATGATGATGGTAACTATTCTGTCAAATCTGCCTATTGCAGGATTCGCGAGAACCAGGGCATCAATTCTACCTATTCTTTATCTCTCTCAGAGGATGAACGGAGTTCTGGAAGGCTCTCTGGAAAACTCAAATTCCACCTAAGGTTCAAATTTTCCTATGGAAAGCTGGAAGAGGAATCTTACCGGTTGGCTGCCATATCGAGGAATGGATTGACGAAGCCAGCATTGACTTGCCCTTTTTGTGGACTCCTAGAGACCCAGCTCCATGCCCTCCGAGAGTGTAGTTGGATCAGACGTCGTTGGCAGGCATGAGAAGGAAAACAAATGTTTGAGCATGGGGAAGGTAAATCGTGTTTTGCATGGTTAAACAAAATATGGAAAACTTCTACTACTGAGCAAATTTAGAAGTTTAGTGTGGTTTTATGGTACCTATGGAATGAGAGGTGTAACCACCTAAATAACAACCACAGGATCGATGAAGATCTGGTCATCCCCAAAGCTCTGGGTTGGCTGCAATCTTTCCTCAAAGCTCATTCACCTACTCCCTGCAATGGAGTCATGCTTCAAAGTGATAGATCTGAAGGATGGAACCCTCCCCCAGATGGAGTCTTCAAGTTGAATTCCGATGTCGGCATTTTCGGGAAGACGGGAGTGGGTTTTGGGTGTGTGATCAGGGATTCAAGAGGAAACTTCCGTGGAGCTACTGCGAAGAAGGAGAAGGGGATCTGCAGACCCATTGAAGCCGAGGCAAAGGCGATTATGATGGGGATCCGTGAAGCAAACCGAAGAGAGTTCAGCCCGCTGATTGTGGAAACTGACTGTCAGAAGCTCATTAACAAGCTTGCGAAGGAGGAGAGTGATTCCACTGAGCTGGGCACCAGGTGTGATGAGATCAGAAGGTTGGCGAAGGTGAATGAGGGTCTATCGGGTGGTTCGACGATCTGGAGCTTTACTCCAAGGAAAAACAATTCCTCAGCTCACTGGTTGGCACATTCCATTTACTGTTGGGATAGACAGTTTGTGTGGGTGGATGATCCCCCATTATCTCTTCTTTGTGTATTGCAGGCTCGGTTTGGACAAAGTTGATTTTTGAATGAGAAGCCTACAGTTTACCATAAAAAAAAAGGAATAATAAGTTAAACAATCAAACATTTGTAGAGAGCTAGGTACCGAAATCTACCCATTATAACTTATAGGAAACAAAGAGATGACATTTCTAGCCATACAATGGACTACTTTATTGTTGTGCCCACCAACAAACCGAAACTGGAACTCCAGGTACTTAATTACCTACCTGCGGATTTAATCATAGATTGCCCCTCTATTACAATCCCAAGTGATACCTCTTTGAACTTTGTCCAAAATGACCTTTGCATCACCCATAATTCTAGCCTAGAGCACTCTAGTCTCTACTTAGGTAACCAGAGCGTGGGGCGAGAGAGGAAACGGGAACGAGAGTGTCAGAGCGTCAATTTTTAAAGAATTTAGTATTGAGAGCGTGAACAGAGCGTCAATATTATAATATTAATAATTATTTTTAAATATATTTAAACCAAAAACATTATTTTTATGATAAAAGTATAAGAAGAAAATACAACAAAGAATAAATTATAACGAAAAAATACAAATATACATCTCTCCTATACAATTAGTCATATAGACTCCCACCGCAATTGGACTTTGTGTTTTGCACTTGTGGGCTGGTAATTTTACCATTCAAATTCTAAAGAGACAACCAAAGGGCTGAGGCCCATACGGTACCAATCAAACAAAGGAAAAAGATTGCAAATTTGCAATCCCTTTATCTTCCCTACCAACAATCCCTGAACTGTATCTACTTTCTGGGGAGCAGTTATCAACCTTTCTAGTGAGCACTAATCCTTTATAGCCTCCATCATTCAGTCATTCTACCAAAACAAAAACAAAAAAAAAAAAAAAACTGGACCCATCTTCTTACATTGCTTGTTCTCTTCTCAATTCTCATCTTGTTCCTCTTTTGTCTTATGGATCCAATTTCCCTTTTCCAACGTTGTTACCTTTGCATGCAGATATAAAATTTAGATCCATCATCATATGATGTGTTCGCTGCAGCCTCTGTCGCATGTCTGCTCTCTGCCTCCGTCTCACCATCTCCTCAATTTCCCAGGTTAGCGATAACCCCTGTTCTCAAGTACACCAAACAGAGCAGCAGCAGGAAAAACAGGGTAAATCATCGCCGACTGGAGAAAGCTTTACGTAACCCAATCTATTATCGATACTTTGGAGCTTCTCCAACCTCTTGCAGCCTCCTATATACCAAAACTTGAAGGATTCACGTTCTATAGAATCGAAGTCACGCTCCTAACATAAATAATTCACGAATTTTCGGCGAATTCCCAAAAAATTGCGTTTTGCCGCTTTAGAGCGGGATTGTGGGACCTAAACCCATGGATTGGGTGACCTAAGTTTCTACACACAAGTGAATAACTTCCCGTAGTGCAAGTAATTCAGCTATCGCCGGATCCACAATCCCATCGAACAACATTCCCTTGGCCCGCACCCCCTCCTAGTAGAATCTCTCAACACCACACATCAATTGGATGCAAGCCACTACAAGTTGCACCATCAAAGGAACACACCGCATGTTCTTAACCCTGCTCTGCCCTGTCTGAATTCACACTGCCGCCAAGTCTCCCACTTTGCAGTCGCACACGACCTGTCAGGGTCGTACCCTCCATCCACTCTGCCACCTCCGCCTTAAAATTGTTGCACTAGAACCTTACCCATGACCTTCATGCCCTAAAAAACCACCAAATTTCTAGCTTTCCAAATACACCACAAGAGGCAGACAACCTAACCGCACGACTAGTAGAAGCATCCCTAGCCAGATAGCGTCCGAGAAAAATAAAGAAATTCTCCTGAGGAACTCAACACACCCTTCACTCTTCGCCTACCTCATCCCAAAACTTTCGTGCCACCCGACACTCCAAAAACAGTTTTTCAGGGTCTCCTCCTCCACCCAACAAATGGGGCATCTATCTAAAATTGAGACTTCCCTTCGCAGCAGAGCCTCTGTTGTCGGCAAGATCTTAATGAGAATCTGCCACAGAAAGAATTTTCGCTTCGGCTAAATCTGCTTCCAAAACACATGATCCACCAAACAGACCTCGTGTCTCTACCTCCCCTTGTGTCGATCAATCCGCACCTTTAACCACATCTCACCGTGTATTTGCCATATGAATCACTCCGCAAGACCAATCTTTCCGTCAAAGCCGTGCGGGGAAATAGGATGGCCTGAATTGCCCGGACCGTCCTCTAAAAAAATCAATCCGAAAGACAATACATACACCAAGCACCATTGCCCGCCTTGCGTGGCATAGAGTCCAGTCCTGACAAGAGAACCTCGTCCCTAATCTCAGGAGCCCCTAGATACAACCCAGGGATCCACCTCCTAGACCGGATCAAAATAGACTCCCTCAATCCCACATGCCAACACAACCCTTCTTTTAGCAACTCACAATCATAGAGGATACTCTACCATCCCCAAGAAGGCCGAGACCCCATCCCCGCCGCTAGGATTGATCTATTTGAGAAATCTTTTCCTCTATAAACCCGAGCAAGTAGAGAATCAGGTTGCAATAGGATCCTCCAAGTCACTTTAGCCAAAAGAGCTTGATGGAAGAGCTCAAATCGGTGGAAGCCTAGCCCCCCATCGCTTACTATTACACAAAGAATTAGACTCCTTTCTCACTTTCCTTAACGGTCGATTTCTTTCTCTCACTATGCGCCCTCTGATACTATTT